CTAAGACCCTCTCCTGCCTTTCCCCGCGGTCCCCCCACCCTGGCACTGTCCCTCAGCTCTCTTCACTGCCCAGGCACAACATTCTGGCTTTGAGTCTTCTGCAGACATGCCCCAGCTGCTCCCATGATCCGGGGACACTTTTACATTGCAAACACCTTCCCTTTTGACTCCAGTTTTCTAAGTCCCTTGCCCAAAAATGTGTGCGTGTAAACCATCATTAAATGTATTAGTAGGTTGAGTTTGGTTTGCTTGTTTTGTGGTGTTTGGGATTATTTTTTTTGCCAGTGTCCCCATATCAGATTGTAACTCTTCAGACACTGATTTAAATGACCTCTTCCCATTCCCCCAGTGCACCTCCTGTTCGTATCACACTGATTTAACATTATACTCCACGTTTTGCTCAACCCAGTCTGTTCTGTAATTCCATGTGGTGTTCTTGCAGATCTTCCTTTTTTCCCCTTATCTGCTAGATTTCCCTACTGCTGGGTATCTTTTGCAGTCATTTTTCCCATATTTTTTCATTATTTCGTGACTCCTGTCTTTTCCTCCCTTATCTCTCCTGTTCTTACGATTGTACCTATTTCCTCTGTGATTCTTGGTGAGATGGGAAAGATATGAGTAACTTTAACCCAGAACTTGGGTCCTGATTCTTTCATTCTGTGACCTCCAGACGTGTGACATGGCCACGGATGTAGCTGAGCCTGTGGTCCCTGACTGCAGAGGAGACGTAAGGAGCGGTGCCAGGTCAGATGCTGACTATCCTCTTCGGGTTCTCTACTGCGGAGGCAAGTGCTGAAGAGGCAGTTGTCCACAATTCTTACAGTGTGCCATTTGTGAGGGCAGGCAAGCAGAAAGAATGAGAGAATCTGAGATTTTCTCTTGGTCAGCTGTTATGGAGAAGCTAGACCACGGTCAGCTTGACCTTTCTGATCATCTTTCTGAAACAGCTTGTGTTGTGTATTTTATCTGAACCGTTTTTGGTGAAACCCAAAGGTCTTCCCTCTGGGAGATGGAGCTACTAACATCTTTCTGAGGGTAAAAGTTGTGTAGTGGGAGTGGTGCTCAGACTGTGAACAGCTGAGCAGAGATCTGTTCCTGCAGAAAGCCAGTGAAGCCTTTAGCACAGAAAAGGCCTCTGAGCATTAGTATGACAATAAGAAATAAAGTCAGAATTCATGAAAGTAATTGTTGCAGTGTGTTTAGAATTATTCTTTACTCATTACAGTTGTAGTTGTGTGGATGAAATTTAAAGGGCAGTAAGTAATCTTGACAGGTATGTTATTTAGGTAGGTTTGTTATTTTGCTTTGTGCTTGAGCACAGTTGCAGGGGATTAGGAAAGAATCCCTGTTGTGCATGAAAATCTGCACAGTTGTTTGGGATTTGTTCTGGGGCTGAGCCTTCTCTTCTCTGGAAAAAGGAAAGCTAATGGAATCACGTGGTAATTCATTAGGTGTATCTTTTGCCCCAGGTAGAACTGGTGGTTCTCTCTATAACTTTCCCAAAGCTGTAGGCACCTCCTGTACTGACTGGCTGCTCTTGCTGTGATAGTTTTATCCTGATGCAGAGCATGTGAGCAAATGAATAATGAGAGAAAAATTAAAAACGTGGAGTGGTATCAATAAAGTAATCTTTTGGGGTCAGTGTGTGATTATAACTGGAAGTTATGATGTAAGAAGTCATCCCTAACTTGAAAATACCATTTTGAATTTAACACTTAGGCTGTGAGTGGAGAACTTCTTTTTGTAATCTTTTTTTTTGTTGTTTTTCCTCCCTTCTTTCTCCAGTCTGTTCATTGCCAACAGAGGTGAGTTTATTTTCTTGTTGTCCGAGTTTCTTCTTTCTGTCCCGTGATTCCTGACTGTGATAATTCTTTCTGATCTTTTCTGATCAATTGTGGCAGTTCTGTGCTTCAGCCACTGTCATCTTCAGGATGACAGGAGGTTTCTTATGCGCTGGTACGATACTGGTGTTCAGTCACCGTACGGGGAAATGCCTGAGCTGAACAGCAAATACGTTTTGCTCTGTTTGTTTGTGACTCTATTTTGTAGTTACTCTGCTCACAACATTGATATGACTTTTCTTCTCAGTACTGCGAGTACATGCCTGATGTGACTAAATGCAGACAGTGGTTAGAAAAGAATTTTCCAGATGAGTTTGCAAAACTTACAGTAGGTAAGAATCTTTTCTGTTTTCTAACTGATATGAACCCTTACACATGGTCAGAAATCTTTGAGCTTGTCCAGTTCTCATCTCTTCAATTTTCTTGCTGTATCTAGTGTGAAAATTAATATTTTTTTTAGGTGTCTACCATGCTTTTGGATGCTGTGAAAATATGTTTGATAATGTCAGAAAACACTGAATAAACAATGTGTAGTTTCAGTAATAATGTCTGAGCTTTCTTAAGGTTCCTACTGTAGCCAGTTGTCCGTGCACTTGTTTCCCATCAGAGTTAGTTTATCAGATTTTATGTCTGTCCAATCTGCTGTGGATGGCTGGAGGAAAGGTCATTAATAATAGGGAACTTGTTGATTTGCATTTGGTATTTCAGTATTAACACTACTATTAATTTTTGTCTCTCTGTGGAAGTTATGTGAAGAGACTGTATTGAAATGGTAACTATCTTTGAGCCAAGGCTTTTCTGAAGTCAAATTTGCATAAGTACTCTAATAAAGAGGTAACATGTCAGTCAAGGGGCTGCAGCACTTAAGCAAAAAGTTTATGGATTTAGCAAAGTAGCACTGTACCTTACTTCCCCTTCCTGTAAGGCTGTGGTTGTCTGACCACTAATTTTGTTCTCTTTCTTCTCCCCACTCCTTTCTGATGTATCTAAGAAAATTCACCGAAACAGGAAGCTGGGGTTGGAGAAGGCCAAGGAACTGCGGGAGAAGAAGAAGAGAAGAAGAAGCAAAAGAGAGGCAAGGTCTAAATAGTTGATTGTGGTACTGATTTATAAGCAGTTTGGGGCATCCCCTTCTCACTTGCTGGTCTGGACTACGGCACAGAGTCATTGTTTGCTATAGTTTGACTCTGCAGGAAAGATACCAAAGAGCTTTCTTCCAGTGGTAGCAGAGTTAGTGCGGTGATATATGCTGATGAAAGAAGTGGATGGCGAGAGAAAGATGTCCTGCATCGTGTGTCTCACTGTTCCTGTCATTGCTGTTGCACTTACTCAGGGAGTAATTCTTCTCAGCCTAAAATCAGCTGGCGTGCCTCCCGGAATACTTGTTTCCGCCCTGTTTAACAGTAGTTTATGGGTTGCTTGCAGAGTGGAACAAAGACTGCTTTCCTCTGTTCATGCCTCATGACGTTGCTTTTGCCTTTCTACCTTCCACCCCTCCTCTGTATTCACCTAACAGCATTTGGTTTTATGCTTTTAACATTATCACCTCTGTCTCCATTAGCAGCTCTGTCCCTTCCTAGCAATACTAATGAAAAACATTTTCAAAAACCAACTTTGGAAGATAGTAAATATGTGAAACAATTTATTTTATCTTCTATCGTTGGAGTTCCTTCTGTTTAATTAATTAATATACTTTCCACCATAAATTAGAATGCTGGGGTTGTTAATACACATTTGCCTGTGGAGTGTCAGTTGTGTCTCTAGTGCTTCAGCAATTTATGGTTAATAGCCCAGTAAGATTCAGATTTTAAGCCACATATCACTGCAGATGGTTTATTTTTGTGTCTTGGTAACCAGTTCTGTTTACCTTGTCAGTAGGTTATGTGTAGTGACAACAGTAGTTTACATTCTGTAGCTTGGATGCTTTTCCCAGAGACTTCAGGACATTTCTTTCAACATTAATTTATTGTGTGGGGTGGTATGGCCAGTTTTCAGTCTGTTTTTGGTTCTAAAATAATGGTATTTAAAATATTTAGAGGTTTTTCTCATAGAATCTAAAGTTTCATGCAAACTTACAGTATGGTGCTAAGTGTGATGATGGTATAAGATTGGCCATAAGAGAGAGGGTGAGGAAAAACAAGCAAAAATTTAGGAAGAAACCACAGAAATTTACCTAAGAAATCTTAAGACAGAAATTTATGGTCTTAAATTATGTGATATCAGTTTATAGTGATGTAGAATTGAAAGTGCCACATGTTAGAAAAAGTAGTCACAAGGGGTGAGTTTGCTTGTCATGAATTCTTTAGGTTTTCCTACTGAGAAGGCTCCAGAACATGAAACTTTAGTTACCCTGGAGTAACCTGATGACTGTATACAAAGTTAACAGAGATCTTAATCTGACTTGAAGAATCCTAAGGAGTGGAATATATCTTTTGCCTGCTTTACTCAGACTAATAAATGCCTGATATGTGAAGTGTTCCCTCAGGTTGGCCTAGAAACAGACAGTAAAAAGATGTTGTTAAATCATGTGGAAGGTTGGCAGTCAGCTCCTGTAGCTGGCTTCTGTTTCAGAGGCTCATGTATGGATGTATGGTTCATACTGGGGTCATACACAGATCTCTGGAACTTAATCTGCTGTTTAACCCAGCAACCTGAGTAGGCACATCCTCGTGGCATCAGTAAATGCACATGAGTAGGTTGCTTTGCCTTGGACTCAAACCCTGAGGATGTTAAACTGGTGAAAAACATTTCAAGTAGTAACAGTTTCAAAGTAACAGTTTGTTCCTAGGATTACAACCAACGCATAATTCCTGAAAGAGGGGTTAAATGTAGACCAGATGCAGTGATGAGTAAAGTGTGGGGAAAACTCCTTAGTTCATAGTTGGGACAGGGTTCTGCTGTGCATGCTGTACTTCAGTGCACATGCATATATTGTTATTTCTTGTCATACTGAGCTTTGATGACATGAGACCTTTCTTAAACAATAATTAAAAAAACCAATGCTAGACAACTGATGTGCACAATATATTTTTGTTTACCAGCACTGATGGGGAGATAAGAGTTTCTTTGTTTATAAGGATGAAATATGATCTTAAGTGCTTTCTTCTTTGATTAAATGTGCCATCATTTAACTAATGACGTAACCTTCTACCCTGTTTCAAAGGTGGAAGAGGTCAGATAAAACAGAAAAAGAAGACTGTACCACAGAAAGTTACAATAGCTAAAATTCCTAGAGCGAAGAAAAAATACGTCACAAGAGTGTGTGGCCTTGCAACGTTTGGTGAGTTGACTTTTGTTATGTGGTTATTGTAGGTTTTAGATGTGCTTCCCTTCAACCTCATGATATTACTTTTGATTGTATTACATTGCTTCCATCTGTGCAAGGTGAAAGTCCCAAGGTGCTTTTAGCAGTGCCAAAGGGACACTGAATTCCCTCGGTGAAAGATTATTAAAGTCCTTATTTCCATGGTGTTTGCAAAAAAAAAATGGTTACAGGTTTCTTTGAAATGGGGCTTCCCATAGCAGTCCACTTGTTGGACTTCAGAGTAGTCTATTGTCTTTAATTATAAACGTGTTTATTTTCAAAAAGATGCTTATTTCCACCAAACTTGTAAATGTGTTATTGACAATGAGTTTTGCCTGTTCCTAAGACTGATTAAGTAAGGTTTAAACTGTCTTTCTAGTAAGGCATCAAATCATTACCAAAGTACCCTAACAATGCTGTCCTACATAGCTTTGCTTCAGCTGTAACCAGCTACTTGGTTTTTATATCTATAACAACATCTTACTTAACACATTGATCACAAATTCTGTTAAAAGGGTAAGTTTTAACCTTGGTTGTATTACCAAGATACCACATATTTCCTGCGTGGGGGTATTGTCTTCTCGAGGGATCGGTGATACGCACTAGCTTGATCTGAACTGGGTGTGTATTTTTGTGCTGGAAGCCAATCTCACAAATTGTTGGGGTGTGTTTCTGAAAGGAACATACTGAAGCATTTCTGTGGAAAAAAACTTGTTCAATAACTATGGAAGTTTCTCAGAACTGGAGGGGCTTTTTAATCAGTTCTGCGTGTGCTTTTCTGGTGAGTGCGTGTAGCACAGACCTGCATAAACAGAACGTGGAGGGGACATTCAGCGATTTTTGCCTTGAAGAATTTGCTAGATTTGTAGAGTCAGTTGTTTTGTGTGTAAACAGCAGACTTTTACTTTCAATGGAAATTGTAGCAAAGCTTTAACTATAAACTGCCACTAGTTTTTCAACAGTTAAAAGAAGATTTTTTTTTGTTTTAAACTTGAGAAAATGCTTGTATGAAATGACTACTTAAAACTGTCCATGTTCCCATCAACAGAAATTGATCTTAAGGAAGCACAAAGGTTTTTTGCTCAGAAATTTTCCTGCGGTGCCTCAGTAACAGGAGAAGATGAAATCATCATTCAGGGGGATTTTACAGATGACATTATCGATGTAATCCAGGAGAAGTGGCCTGAGGTAATAAACCTTTTCTTCTCTAGTTTTCCACAATAGTCTGTGACTTTGAAAAAAGGTTTAATCTTCGTTGTACAGAAATAAAAGACGAGTTGTTGCATTCCCACCTGTGAATGACTGGGTTAAGGAGTGATTAAACATGAAGTCAAGTGTTGTTTCCATTGTCCAAAAAACATTAACTGCCTAAAAATGTAGTGCTGTTACTGTGGATACTATTGTGAGGGAGGATGGGAGTAAGACCAGCTGTCAAATATCTGTGGCTTCTTTGTGACCATTTGTTAATGGTGAATACTTAAATATTCTTACATTGCCGTGCTATTTTTCAAAATCTCTTAATATAGTGCAAAATTAAAACAAACACATAAAACCCCCACACTCTTGTGCTTCAGAAGAAGAGATTGACTAATTTTGGGTTGGATTGAAATGTGGATTGTTGAGAGTTTGGTTGTGCTGCTGTAATCTCAAGCACTTTCTTTGACTCTCCCTTGTCCTGGTGTTTCCTGAGTGGAGTTGTCTCTGAAATAACTGTGTAGGTCTGTCTATCCAGAACCACACAGGCTCAGCTGTGTCCTGTAGGCACGTGTCACTTGTGTAGAATTTACAGCAAGGTGTAAATAAATCTCTGATGCTGCTATATGCTTCTCCCACACTTCATTTCATGTGCAGTGGTGAATACTGAGTGAGACATGTAAGAAGAAAATATACTTAATATGCTGTGTTTTGGCCTTTTTTTTTTCCTAGGTGGATGATGATAGCATTGAAGATCTTGGAGAAGTCAAGAAGTGATAGTGAAAGACTACCTTTATTTAATTATATGGTTATAAATGATGTAGTCAAAGTGAGGCTTTTAAAGGCTTCATTTGCTCTGCAGTGAAACTCTGGAGAACCCATATCCTTGGCATTTTCACTGTTCTGTATAGGCTGCTTGGTTTGGTTTTTTTTTGTTGTGATATTTGCCAAAGTTAAATTGAGGTTCTATCATGCTTAGGCATGAGGTAGATTTAAATAAAATTACTGTTCCTCACTGAATACAGTTTCTGTTTTCCTTACAGCTACTTCCTTCAAACAATTTTACAGGAAAATAATAATTTAAGCCATTAAGAGCTTATTTTTCATCTGCTGTCCTTTCTGCTGAGCTTAAGTGAATAAGGCATGTGGCTAATGTATGGAAATTCATACTTCTGATTTATCTGTGTAAAATCTGAGAGTTCAGAATGGGACAAACATTCTAAAGGTTTGTTAAAAATTAAAGGAAAATAAATCCTAAAGCAGTCAGGCAGTTGGATTAGATGATCATTGTAGGTCCCTGACAACTGAAGTATTTTATTAAGTGGAAACACTGAGGAACATGTGAATATATCTGAAACATTTAGTCTATTTGTCATAATTCCAAACGTTCTCCTAACCCTGCTGGACTTCTAGGTAAGGCAATTTTAGTGTCTTTATGCTTTTAGCATACTGCTGGTGCAAGAATGGTGGTATCACCACTTTATGGTGGTATCACAACTTTATAGTGATAACTGTTTCCCTGGGCTGTGTTCACACAGCAGGTAAGGTGAGGTGCCAGCTGTGCTGCTCCGCTCTGGTACTCCTGCAGACAGCCTTGAGCATCGATTCGGTGCTTTGTATTTCACTGCTCTGTTTTATATCATTAAATGCTCTCTGGTGGTAGGGTCCTGGAACTGACATTTTCCTGTCACTGTAAAACCCAGATGAGGTCAAGCCCAAGGGAGTGACGTGTTGTACACACTGTCCTCTTCTGGTAAAGTTTTATGGGTTTTTTTGTGATTTTTGTTTATAAGCCGATTGGTTTAGTTGAGAATGGTGTTAGCTAACACGATAACCGTGTCATAGATTACAGCCTGGTTTGGGTTGGAAGGGACCTTAAAGCTCATCCAGTCCCAACCCCCCTGCCATCAGCAGGGACACCTTCCACTAGACCAGG